AAAAAAAAAAAAAAAAAAAAAAAAAGAAGAAGAAGAAAATGCAAGGTTCCCCACTTTTGTATGGTTGAGCGGGAAGTGCCCATGTTTATGTGTGTCTGTGTGCTGTGTGCTGTGTGTACGCAGTACTACGCACGCTTTTTGTTTGTCCGTGTTCGCATATTAGTTGTGTCACGTCTGTTGTGTCGTGTCTGTTGCGTCACTTCTGTTGTAAATACGGTCTGGTGCTACGAACGAAGACAGATACCTTGTATTCATTCATAGATGACTGTCTGTGTAGTCAGTTACAGTCATGACGATCGTGTGTTTTGTCCCCAGGGGGGGGGGGAGAAGACAGTTGTACCAAATCTGGCCTTGCATAAAAATGCAGAACTTTAAGAAAGGATGAGATGAAGACAAAAAGAGGCCAATACTATGGTTACTCTGCAGATGAACCTGGTCGTTAAACTAACCAGGTTCATGCTACCTTAGCACAGACCTAGCATGCAATGTGACATAGCCAGCCAAAGGCTACTAAAACACTAGATACAAAAAAAATACCCATGCTAATGATAAAGGCAAGAAGATTTTCCAGCCAAGTCTCATTAATTGATCATAACGATATCGTGGAAATGCTGCACGAACCCAAATATATAAAAACAGAAAGCCTTCGGCCTTTATACTGGACCAAATCGAGCCCGGAACCCAATAAAGAATAGCCATATTCATGATGGGCAACCAACCACCCAAAAATAAAGGAGTACATAAACTACTCACTGATATCATATTAGGCTATTATTAGCATACTCCCCTTGAGAGCAAAACCCGTGGAAGAATATTCTACGTGAGCCTGTGCTTGTTACATCAAATTGGCACCATGGATTTTGTGACTGTCAGAAATGTTCGATGCTTCTTGGAGTTTTCTGTTTGATACTACTGTGGTTATGTTAATTGTGGTCATTTTTGTCAATGACTCCTACCTTCTTCCCCCGAACATAATGCATATGTGTTGTATTCGAGTTTCCAAATTTGAAAAAGATTTGAATAGAATGCATCTGCGTTATAATCGGGGTTATTCGAATAGAACGTGTACGTGTTGTACTTGAATAGAACGCACCCTGTGCGTTGTATTCGATGACAACCCATACGCGTCATGTTCGGGGGGAAGAAGGTAGTCGTATTGGATCTAGCATATGAAGATGGAAAGCGTAGACGTATGACGCCACCTTCGGCCTACGAGGTGAGATAGAGGTATAGTCTAACCTCTAGTGCCCTCGCTTTCAGGGTCAAAAATGACAGATTGACGTCCAGTGTAATCTATAAATAAATAAAACAAATGCATAAAGGACTGACCTGCAGTGTGATGTTTATTACAGCTTTGTCCCTCGTATTGAGAGCGGTTTTGATGGGAATGATCAGCTGAGGAATAACGGGCAGGATTTTGCCCCCGCCAATCTGCACAGGAAGGGACAACCAAAAGAGAGAATTATCAAAACTTTTTTTTTTAATCTCTTTTTACTGTTTTCGATCTGTTTTGAATGTGTTTTCTAAAGCAATACCAAAATTACCAAAATCACCAAAATTGGAAATCCTTTTTCTTTTTTTTTTCAACAAGTCTTTATATTCTTGTTTTTCTTTCTGTTTTTTCTTTTCTTTTTTTCTTTTTTTCTTTTTTTGTCCTCCATGTCCAGGGGCCATGTTATTATTATTATGTTTTTTTCAATGTTAATCTTCTCTCTCTATCTTCCCAGCCCTCATTGCCCTCATTGCTCCATCCAAGCGCTGGAACATACCGACGGGGTTACCCGTTGGGATCTGTAATCCCAACCATAACTGGGACAGCCCAGCGCATTGGGCCCGTGTGCTAGACAGCCCTGAGTTCCCCCATGCATATGGCGGACCGAAGGGCCAAGGTCCCACTTGCCTGGTCCCATTTGCCTGGTCCCTGGTCCCACTTGTCTGGTCCCAATGTGCCTGGTCCCTGGTCCCTGGTCCCAATGTGCCTGGTCCCATTTG